AATGTCTGCAATATGTTTCTTAAGGCATGTCAAACTCTTTGACCATAATTTTAAAGCCCTCCTTAGGTTCTTAAACTTAGCATTGGTCATCTTGGCAGGATTTGTGTAACCCACAGGAATGTCCCAAGCTGCTTTGACTATATCCTTAAAAGGGTTGTGCTTCAACCAGAAATTCTAAAATATAAACACTTTTGCTTTTGGAATAGAGGTTCCCACTTTAATCAAACATGGCAGATGGTCAGAAATAGGTCTTGCAAGTGGAAGAGCTACAGAATCTGGGTATGAAATCATCCATGAAGCAGAACTATAGCAAGTTCATCTCCATAAGCACCATTCATATTGGCATCATGGCCACTAGCATAGAAAGCATCAATTTCAGCAAAAAGGGGCATTTCAAATGAATCCAAGGGATCATAGCAATCATCATAGCATTCATCCTTCGATAAGCATGAAGGGAGATTAAGAAATTATGAGTTGAAGAGTTACTCTCATTAGAAGGTGGGCATGGGTAGCTAATCCGTTGTTCCTCCTTTTGTTCTTCGCTCTCCTCGTCATCTTTTTCATCTAATGAGCTCACAGTGTCATCAATTTCTTCTTCCATAGATTCCTGCAAAATATTGATCTCTTCTTAGACAGCGAAGACTTTCTTAATAAACTCATTAATATCAGCATTATATTCATAATTCTCATAGCAATATTTAAGTATAGAAAAAAAATTCAGGTTTGTAAACATCATCATCATAATTTTCACACTTTTCAAACAAAGATTCAATTTCATAAGCACCCTTAAAAGAAACGAATTCTTCTATTCGTTCCACATCATAGTAATCATATATACCATTAGCATAAGAAGCCAAGGTTTCATTATCATTAAATTTACATGAAAAGGGAAGGTGTGGAGCCGTCATCCTAGAGCAACAATTATAATCACATCTCAAGCATAAATTCCAAGCATACCAATGCAAGATTTCAATTTGATCCCATAACAGTTTTGCTTTTTGAGTCAAGCGATAATCCCTAAAGTATTCACATTGATCCAACGTGTCTCCCATTATCAAGTTGAATGGGTTTTCTCGGGATTATCAAAGTAGTGTTTAATATTTTTCACACAGCGAGCATCAATGGTTTTAGGAGGTTCCCCATCTCCATGAGTAGCAAGTACACCTGATTGTTTTTGGTATTTCGTGTTCCATATCCATAACTAAAGATATAAAACAACTTAGAATAGAAAAAAAATCTACTTAGTGATAAAGCAAACAAGCACACATGAGAATATTCACCCCACGCTATTGCTCCTCGGCAACGGCGCCAGAAAAAGGTCTTGATAACACACAAGTATAGGGGATCAATTGTATCCTTTCTCGATAAGTAAGAGTGTTGAACCCAACAAGGAGCTAAAGGTAGAACAAATATACGGTCAAGTTCTATCTACCACCGATACAACTCTACGCGCGCTTAAGCGTTCGCTTTACCTAGAACAAGTATGAAACTAGAAGTACTTTGTAGGAGTAAAGAGATAGGTTTGCAAGATAATAAAGAACACGTAAATAAAAGGTAGGGGTTGTTTAGATAAAGAACAATTAAGTTAGTTTTAGTAGAGAGCTTTTTGTCACAAGAAAGTTATTTGTCCGTAGGAAATCGATAGCTAGATCGGTAATCATTATTGCAATTTTATATGAGGAAGAGGCATAAGCTAACATACTTTCTCTACTTGGCTCATATGCACTTATGATTGGAACTCTAGCAAGCATCGACAAGTACTAAAGATCATTAAGGTAAAACCCAACCATAGCATTATAAGGTATTCAGTCCTCTTTACTCCCATACGCAACAACCCCCTTACTCGGGTTTAAACTTCTGTCACTCTAGCAACCCACTATAACCGAATCATGAACATATTGCAACACCCTACAGCGGGGATCCCTCATGCTTGCATGACACAAAGAGCACCATAGGACAGCACCAATAATAAACATACAACTCAAACCAATCACGAGCATCAATCAACTCATAGGACAAAACAGATCTACTCAAACATCATAGGATAGCCATACATCATTGGGAAATAATATATAGCATTGAGCACCATGTTTAAATAGAGATTACAGCGGGGAGAAGAGGTGTTACACCGCTGCGTAGAGGGGGAGAGTTGGTGATGACGGCGGCAAGGTTGTTGGTGTAGATAG